GCTCTGCGGTTAGCATTAGCTAGCCGGAGTGTTTCACAGGGTTAACGCTTTAAACTCTCCCTGCTGGGGAGCCGTTAGCATCGACACGCCATATTATTATCTTAATTATGGCGGCAAACGTTTAGAAAAGTGTTGCAAAAACATTCAAGACTGTAAATACGACCAATAAGAAACGTTCGCCTTGGCGCCACCGCTATATAAATGTTTCGTGTTGCTGGTGGAAAGAACAATCGTGTCTGTTTGCATTTTCAGGTGAGGGATAAGGAAGTGAAGAGCAAGGCGCTGGGATTGAGTGTCTCGGTGGTTTTTGTTGCATTGATATCCTGCTGCTTGGAGACATCTGCTGCGTGAAGAGCTTCAGATCAGCTTTACTGGCTGCTCCCGGGTGGCAGTGTGACAGAAATGGACCAGAACAACAGCATCCCGCCCTTCCAGGGGCTGGCATCCCCTCAGGTAGAGCTCACATTGGTCTCAGTAATTTAGTAAAATACTGATTACAGTCATATGTCATTTTGATGACTGTTGATTGTAGAAAAATGAAATAAATTCAGTTTCTCTGACTATTAGAATAAGACCAGTGAAGATTCTAACTTGCCCCTTTTTTTTAACATAGATTTTATTCATTTAGTTTTTTCTGTTATCTTTTGTTTAATTATTTTGTATATTTTATATATCTTCCAGTTCTAGTTTTAAATGTTAATTGAAATTTAAAGTTTAGCAATCTTTGGGAATGTGCTCCTATGTAATTTTGACACTATATTACCTGAAAATGGCCTCAAAACAACAATATTATTGTTTTTTGGAATAACTTGCCCAGCAAAATTTGATATCATGACAAGCCTGCGTGACATATGGATAAATTTTCCTTTTTCTTGACATTTCGGGTATTTATTTGGTTGCTTTTAAATAGATTTTTAGGTTTTAAATTCAGTTTGTAAACTCCTTGTTTGAGATGGTGCTAAAAACAAAATTTAACTTGAAACGTACAAAGTATCAGCATGTGTTTTTTGTCTAATTGCTTTTTGCATCTACAGTTTTATACTCAATTGCAGAAATGTATATTTGGATGACATCTTCCCCAGAATTGATTTGTGTAACATTCAGACACTAATGTCTGTGTGATGACGTGTGTTCCTCGTTCAGGGAGCCATGACCCCCGGCATGCCGATGTTCAGTCCTATGATGCCTTATGGTTCGGGCCTGACGCCGCAGCCTGTGCAGAATACAAACAGTCTGTCCATCCTGGAGGAGCAGCAGAGGCAGCAGCAGCAGCAACAGCAGCAGCAGCCCAGTGCAGGTAACTGTGATCACTCAGATCAAATTAATCAGTCCAGGGCTCTGAAGTCCTTGAATATGCTTTGAAATCATTGAGGGGAAAATGTTTGATTTCTGCAAAAAAGTCCCTGAAAGTGCTTAATATTTAAACTGCACAGTTTGGTAATAAGGTGCAATCTAACACCTAAGTAAAAGATTAAATTTATTTACAGTTAAAAGCAGGTGTTTTTTTATATATGTAATAAAAACTCTGATACATTTATAGCAAAATTATTTCTATTTATCAAATGCCAGAAAACGTAGAACATTTTTAAAGATTTTTTTTATAACTTTCTCAGTTTTTTGTGTTTAATTTGAGCAGTTTGGTTATAAACCTTAACATGATTCATTCAGATTATTCATTGTTTTGAATATTTGCTGATGGCTCAATAACTTATTGATCCGTGTGATTAAAATAGAGGTTGGCTTGAATCTTTTACAATATTATTTAAATTGTGAGACTTTTTGTTAAACTAGTATTTTGTTCATGTAAGGGAAACATTTAAGAACATAAATTGTTAGATTTTGTTCATCTTGTGATAATGCAAATTATCACACATTATTATTGAAACTTTCTCTTTTTTAGCCTTTATCTCCAGTTTGGTGCTGGAAAAGTTTGAAAACTTACCTTCCAAATGCCTGGAAACTTTATAAACCCTGCAGTTTGGTTTGTTATTAAAACCTTAAATCCCTGAAACTTCAGGCCTTCCAGGAACGTCGGGGCAGACTCCTCAGCTGTATCATTCCCAGACGGCGGCGGGTTCAACCACCACGGCGCTGCCAGGAGGCACCGGGCTCTACAGCACTTCGATCGGCCCCATGACCCCGCTGACCCCGGCTACTCCTGCCTCGGAGAGCTCAGGCATCGTGCCGACGCTGCAGTACGGTTCATACTCATCTGATTTACGTGATCAGATCTTGTCTTCCTGCAAAATGCTACTTTGCTTTCATTCATCTCTGTTGGTGTGAACCGTTGTCTCTCCCAGCTCAGTTCGTGTTTGTTTCTGTTTTCATTTTCTGAGTTCATTAATTCAGCTTTTTTTCCTGTTTGTGATTAGAAACATCGTATCTACTGTAAATTTGGGCTGTAAACTGGATCTGAAGACGATTGCCCTGAGAGCCAGGAATGCAGAGTACAACCCCAAAGTAAACAAACCCAAAGTTTACACATTCAATACGACTTTCTTCATTATCAGCATGTTGAACATCTTCACTGAATCTATTTAACCCTTTCCACAAGAATGACTAAATGATTTGAAACCCTTAAATGACACTGTTATTCTTGTAAACAAGCCAAATTGTTAATTTTCCAGCGTTTTGCTGCCGTCATCATGAGAATAAGGGAGCCCAGGACTACAGCGCTTATCTTCAGCTCTGGGAAGATGGTCTGCACCGGAGCTAAAAGGTCAGAATCCAACAAACGGCATTTATTTTCCAACACTTTAGTGTTTCATCTAAAACGGTCCGCTCACATTTCTCTTCTATTTAAATGTGTTTGTGTTGCTTTCTGTGTCCCTCTCTCCAGTGAGGAGGAGTCGCGGTTAGCAGCCAGGAAGTACGCTCGCGTTGTGCAGAAACTGGGTTTTCCTGCCAAGTTTCTGGACTTTAAGATTCAGAACATGGTGGGCAGCTGCGACGTAAAGTTTCCCATCCGGCTGGAGGGATTGGTGCTCACACACCAGCAGTTCAGCAGGTTGGCTGCAGTTCGTTTGATTCAGCAACCATTTTTAAAGTTTCCACCCGTTTTAAATGAACTAAAAGCATCTTCTGCTTTGCAGCTATGAGCCGGAGTTGTTTCCAGGGTTGATTTACAGGATGATCAAACCCCGAATTGTCCTGCTAATCTTTGTTTCTGGGAAGGTCGTTCTCACAGGTAAGGGCTCTGAAACATAGTTCATACTTGCATCATTGTCTCTGGTCCTGCTTTTTTAGCACTGTATATTTAAATTCAGACAAATGTTGATACTTCCCAGCCACAACAAACACTCAGGGTATAAAATACAATTCACCTAAAAAATGAAACATGGGAGAAAGTATCAATGCTTTATAAAATCCAACACCAAGAACAGACATGTTATCCTGAAAGGCAATAAAAGTAGAATAGAGGCAACAACAGGCTGAATAATTGTACGGTATGCTAACGTTACATGACAAACAACGAACTGAGAACGTGTCTGGTATGTTAACATATTAAGAGTTATTCAGATAACTATAGCATAAATAAAATGCTAGATTACCAAAGGACAGTGCTTAAAAATCATAATGAATAAGAAGACGGGCAGTAAAAAGATACTGGTGGAAAGTCTCTTTCAGGGTGAGTTGCGGAGAGCAGCGCTGCGCCCCACACCAACTAACCGCAACTTAACACCTAAAATAAAATTATTCATGTTGGCTGAAAGAAAAGGTTTGATTTTGCCAATGCGACTTCTTTTAAATTGGTTTAGTGGTCCTCAGCTTGAGTAAAGCTGATCTAGTCCTATTTTTGTTTTATGAGTCATGTGCCTCAAACATGGAGGAATTAATTACTAATTTGTGTTTTGTTTTATTGTTTTAAAGGAGCCAAGGTGAGAGCAGAAATCTACGAAGCGTTTGAAAACATTTACCCCATCCTGAAAGGTTTTCGTAAAACTACGTAGAACCTGGAGGGTTTTTTTCCCAACCTCCCCAACCTGGTTTCTTTTTATTTTTTAAGCTGCATCAAAGTGACTCATTGATGTTGAACTCTTTACATGGACTAAACGGGATGCTGAACACTAACCGCATCATCTGATTTCTTTTGTTTTGTTTTTCACCCTCCAAGGAATTTTTAAAAAACAATTTTAAGGTCCATCTTCAAACGTCTTGGTTAAATTCATTTCCATGTTTTCTGTAGTTTCAGGTTTCCAGTGCATCCTCACATCCCTGATTTGTATATAGAATTGTAAGAAAATGTAAGATATTGCTGATGAATGGAGAAGCACTCAGAAGGGGACAGTTCCTGGTTTTATTTTAAAATGTTTTAACTATTTTCACATGCTGCGATTTTAGCATTTCCTTTGCTCACGTCTGAAGTTTTGATACTTTGTGTTGAAATCAGTCTCCATCTTTGAATCCTGATTTATGTTTTTATTTTTGGTCCAACCAAATGCTGAAGTCGGTTTCTGTGTTTGCAGTTGCAGTTAAAGTGATTCAAACCAATTTGTTAGTTGGTTCTGCAGCTACTGGTCCTCTTCAGGTCAAACAGAGGGAGCCTTGTATTTACATAGAGATGTTTTAATGGTTAAACTGGAGCTAAACATATTTTTTTATATTCTAAATATAGAGAAGTGAGTGGCATCTCAAGGTAGATGCAGATAAGAACAACTTGGGACTCAAGATTTAAATGTGAAGGAAAAATTCTGCCTCGCATAAATATGGTGGCAAAATGTTACAGATTTAGTAGATAAATGTCTATTTTTGCCCATGTGAAAGTTTGAGGATTTCCAAAATGTTGAAGACATTTAAGTGAAGTTTTGGGTTGTTTTCCTGCTTCATGTCTGTTTTAAACACAGTTTAACTCTGCAGCCATCTAAACGTTTTCCTGTCAACAAGCTCAATGTTTGCTTCATAGTTTGATTCAGATTTGTGCATCGACTCGTTTTGCAGAATAGATCAGGAAATGTTTTCAAATTGTCTGAAGTTGTCAATGTTCTGCAACAATAAATCTGTACATACTGCCTCCAGTTAAAACTGTCTTCTTTTGCAGTAACACTATTTTTATTAAGTCACATTCTTATTAAATTTATTTAAGTGAATGAAACGATTGTTCGTTTAATTATGAGAAACATGTTAAAGTTTAACCACATCTGAGCCTGATTAGCATGAAGTAGGCTAAAAATATTTCAAAAAGCAAAACATGTTCTGATCTAAATAAATTCAAAATGGGAGAGAAAAGTTTTATTTTGGACATTCAAATAGTTAGAAAATTGTTACAAATCGGTCAGAGCCATCATCCAAAAATGAATGAGGCAGAAAATTCTGAAGAACATCTGACCCGAATGGATCAAAACATTTGGTCTTTTGAGTGGTCTAATTAAAGTCCAGGGTTAAATATATTTGAAATGTAATACCCTGAGCGAACAAATATGCCAAATAAGGTTAGGTGACATGGCTTAAAAAATATCTACAATTTTACAGCAAGACATATTTCTAATTTCAGTCTCTACTGCTTACTGTTTCCTTTAAAAATATAAAACATCTTCAAAAAACCCTCTTACTTCAATCATTCTTTGAGTTGAGCTGAATTTAATTTTCAAATAAATAGCTGTGAAGCACACTTGTCTAACAAAACGGCCGTTGTTCTGAAAAATTTAAACCCAAAGAGTACATTAAAAAAATATTACAAAAGTCAAACAGAAAATTAATTAGGATAAAATCGATTCATCAGCCAGCTCTGATAAATCGAAGTAAAGTTTTCAATAAAACTGTATAATTATTAAATACCAGCTTATTTTATTTTTAAACTGAAATAAAAAACAATCTCAAAGGACTTGAAAGTGTCGATTTGAGTGCTTTATCTTCTGTTTTCTGCGACCACAGCCAGCAGGTCGGCGCTACGTGTCTCTTTGCTGACTCAGTTCAAAGTCCTGCTTCCAGACGAACTCCGGGCGGTACTGGTCTCCCTGGTCACAGCTGGCGGAGCAGCTGTAGACCGTAACGGTTCCCCAGTCGACGCTGGCTCCGGTCGAGTCCACGCAGAGGCTGCTTAACAGCTGAGGCATCACCTGGGCAAACAAACACACCGGGAAACGAGCCGGCTGGCTTTGCTGCACGACTGGACTCTGTTGACGTTTTAAACGTCACCCAATCGGTGACGTTTGGAAACGCGTACGTTGGTGGTGCGTTTAAAGACTGCTCGGAAAATTACCTCACCGCAGCTTTAGCAGCTGTGCCGAGGACGAAACGAGAACCAAAGGTATTATATCTATAATTTCTATATGACTCTGAGTTTTATAAAAGCGTTATTTAGTTCCAATTAATTGTAGTTTTCCACCATTTATTACCTATTTTATTTATCAGTTATTTTCGTCCCCTATAGTCTACACTACTGTGGAAAGGATTAGCTCGATAATTTGTGATTAATTGATTATTGTAAACTAATTCGGCGATCTATTAATGTTTACTTGAGTGTAGAGACTCACAAAACTCAGAGCAGTAATTAGGCCAAAATTGTACATAATAGATAGCTTTTTTTAGATAAAAAAATAAAAATTTGTCTGTCAAACATGTTCTATTCAAAAATTGTCAAGTGGTGTAGTTTAGCTGTCAAAAAAATCACTATTTAATCTCTATTTGTTATCGAATTATTATTAATAATTAATTCAAAAACTAGTCAACAGATCAGCAATGTGACCAAAACAGAAAGAGGTGAGATTTTCATGTCAGCATTTTTTTTGCTGCAGATACATTCTTTGCAATAATCAAGCATTCACTAAAGAAATGCTGTTATTGCACAAATGTTTGTTTTCTTATTTAAAAGGGATTTGTTTGTTGAATTGCATCTTTGATTTATTTCTAAAACTGTATGAAAAAGGCAAAATGAAAAATCTGCGGAATGTGCTACTTTTTTTAAAAAATTCAATTAATCGTCAAAAATAGTTAATAGATCAACTGATAACTAAATGAATCGGTATCTGCTGTCCTAAACTACTTAGAAAATGCATGTAGGGATCTCAGGAGGGGTTTCATCACCAGGACCCACCTGAAACTCAAAGGTCCTGTTGGCGCCGCAGCTGCATGCTGGGATCTGCTCCACTGCAGGGACGTGACTGGATGAGACCCAGAGGGGTCGGCCTCCTCGACTGTAACGAATCACCTGCATGTGAGAGACCGTCAGCGTCAGGCGAACACAGAGAGAAACAGAGGAAAAGTGTCTGCTGGCTGATTGAGCTCAACCTGGTGCGGCTCGGAGGCGATCTTCTTCTTGAACCGCTGGAACACTTTGTCGTCTTCAGTCTCGTGCAACGCCATCTCCTCCAGATCTGCTTCTGCCAGAGCTAACAGGACGGCAGCAGAAAAATTATTCACATCTGTGGTGTCATATTTGAAATGATCTGCTTTTTGTTGCTTCAGCCAGACCTGCAACAAACTATTATTTTAGTTATCGACTGCAGATTTTAAATACAATATACAATACAACATTAGAAATGCATTGAAAAGATGCAAATAAACAATACAATTCTGTTATTGCCAAAAATGTTATAACCTTTAATGTACTCTTGCTCATTTGTTAATTAATTTTTTTGCATTACCAATCAATAATTGGATAACAAAAGGTGATTAATAGGACATAATCAGGTGAAGCAAAACAGTGGAGGAGATCTTATTTTCAGATTAAGATTTTTTTTTTACGTTTGAATGCAACATTTATATATTTTTGGCTGAATTAGTGCTTTACTTGCATCGTTCTTTTGAATAAGAAAATACTTCTTTTTTTTATGAAGTGCAATAACATTTAGTGAATGTCCACTCTTTTGTAGCAAAGGATGAATTTACAGATTAAATACTTATAAGACCAGCATGTGAAAAGCTCTTCATGCCTGACTTGACATGAATAAAGTCTGATGATTTTTTTTAAAATCACCAATTAATGATTGGAGAGCAAAAGGTGTTTAATAAGAGATTTTTGTGGGGCTGGTCTGATTATTTCGGTAATATTTTCACAAATAATTTCAATTAGGTGACGTTAAAACTGTCCTGTGAGAAGTTCTGGGTTGAACATACAGCTGTGGAAAATATTCCACTTCAAATGATCAGTTTCTCCGATGTTACTCTTTATCTGTTTGTTTGAGTAAAATGAACATTGTTCTTTTATTCTATGAACTGCTGACAACATGTCTCCAAAATTCCAACCAAATATTTAGTTTTTATTTGCAGAAAATGAGAAATGGATAAAATAACAAAACAGATGCAGAACATTCAAATCTCAGATAATGAAAAAAAAAAGTTCATGTTCATTTAGAAACAACAACACTAATGTTTTAACTCAGGAAGAGATCAGAAATCTATATTTGGTGGAATAACCAGGAGGTTTTCAATGGGTTTTATACAGTGGACTCTTATTTTTTTTACAAAGTAAAACAGTATTTATAGAAAAATAAGATTTTTTTTTATTTAAAATGCATAATGGATTTTTTTTTTCTACAGCTTTGTCTTAATTACTGCTCTAAATATGATGTTCTTCAGCAAACAGCCTTTTTTTTGCATACTCCAGTTAGTGATTCAGAAATTACTAAATTAGTTGATTATTTCAATAATTGATTAATCACTATTAACCCGGTTAATTGTTTCAAACATGGCTGAAAACTTACTGTCAGACAAGGAAGGACCTTCAGTACTTTTCTGTTCTTCTTCCCCTCCACTCTGTGCGTCGCCTCCTTCCTCCTCTCCCTCTTCAGGCTCAGTGACGAGCTCAGACTCGGGGAACAGGAAGGGAGAGACAGAAGCCGACGGCAGCGCTACAATCAGAGAGACACAGCAGCAGAGAGCGGGTCAACCCTCCGGGCCGTGGGTCGGTTCTGGCCTGCTGGGTGGACCTGTACCTGCGCTCAGGCACTCCTTCTTGTGGGAATGTTTCCAGTGGACAGTCTGGTGGTGTTTACCGCAGTAGGTCACGGTGTGGCAGCGGGAGCAGGCCTTGTTTCCAGGGCAACCACACACCCAGCACAGCTTGACTCCTGAGACGGATAAAACGTTGTTGTCCTCTTCAGAGACGGTCTGTGGTTCATCATCTGGACACAACGGAGACAAATATTCCAGATTATGAAAATTAATTTGGGTGGGATTATTTTGTTATCTAAAGTATTGAAAAAATTTAAGTACTTTTGACCCTCATTCAAAGGCGATCTTTTACGATTCCTTGAACCGTAAAATTTGCTGTAATACAAAACTTCAGTAACTGAAGAATTCGAATTAATGGGCTACAGCAACATGCAATTTCCCTTTGGGATTAATAAAGTATTCCTTGAATTTAATTTGAATAAGCGATGTAAGAATCCCTTTCATGAGACTTTTAGAAAACAAAGTGTCTTTAGTCAGAAGCTCCTTCAAACTGTTATTTTTTTGCAAAAATACAACATTTAAGCAAATTTGGGTCGGGTCGAACAAAAACGAGTCGCTAGCAACAATGAACCAGCGGTCTGTATTATGAGTGTATTATAAGCCTGACTTCCTGCCAGGGTGTGTATGTGTCCAGATGAGGATGAGGATGTCCAGAAACTGGCCACGGTGAGTGGGGACTGGTGGGCATAGTTGCTGAGTCATAGAACCACTCAGCATCTAAAGGGATATAAAACGGCTAATTTTCACTCTACAACACGCAAAAAGGTCCTAATTTTTCAATGTAGTTTCCTAACTAGACCATAAAAACTCACAAGAATGTTTCAAACAAACCTGGAGGAGGGTCGTAGGAGTAGAAGTCATTCTTCCTGGGGAGCTGACTTCTGAAAACTGATGTGAAGGAGAAACCATTAAAAAAAAAAAAAAGCTTAGAATGGCACTGAATAAACCAACAGTGAATGAAGACACATTCAGACTTGTTGAAAGCGGATAAAGTGAGAAGTGGTCAAATAGAAACGTTGTAATAACAGCACCTTTCAGGCAGCGGCTGTCGTTGTGGGAGTAACACTCAGGAGTTCTGCAGCAGAACAGGAAAAGCGTCCTGTGGAAACTTCTGTCCTGACTCGAAATGGGTGCGTAAACCTGCAGAAACGACCACAAGGTACAATTCAACACTGAGGAGAAAATTACATGTTTGTCCCAGAAAAGCATGAAGTCCTCTAAAGTTGTCAGGACACGTTTTGCAATTTCTTTAAAAACTGTGGAAAATTTTTGACTGGACTTTAAGCAACGTGGATTATGACTCTCCATTAGTTATTCAGATTTTGGGAACTTAATTCCAAATGAAATGTAAAGTGGTTTCAAATGAAAAAACTGTATTCAAGTGAGCCAAAACTGTTTTCATTTGATTAAAGTCTATGTAGCAAGCTTCTTAAATTGTTTCTGGTTTTCTATTAGATGTGACAGTCTCAGCCCTTGTTTTGTCTGTACACTGTGAATCTTCCCGAAACTTAATAAGCTCTCAATTTCCTTCCACTTAACTACAACATGTTGTGATCGGCTTCTTTAGCAAAGACATGCTGTGTATCAAATCTATAAAATAAGAGTTTATGGTCTCCATTTTCTCTCTGTTTAGATTAATCACAATGTTTCTTTATCTCTAAATTAAATTCTTTGTTATTGTTATCATCGATTCACCAATTAGTGCATACAAAACAAACCTTACAGACAAACAAACATAGGTACTAATCTACAAAATAAACAACCAATTAATTAATTGAACAACAACACAAATGAAAACAACTTCTTTCTCTACAAATGACACTAATGAACGAGTCTTGGAAGGTTTTCCTCCTCCAGGTTCAGACCTGCAGCAGGAAGACCATGGGCAACCCGCATTTCTCACACTCCAGGTCGGACTGGCGGGCAGGCCCCTCTGGCTGAGCCACGCCGGCTTCCCTCCGACCTTGCTGGGGAACTGCGGAGACTGGAGCCGCCACGGTTCTGCTTCTTCAAGGAAACCCAGAACCACCTCGGGAGAGGACATGTTTTTCACTTCTAAAAACTAACTTGATCAAAACAACCCGCTGACACAGAGAAGGCAGATACTCCTCTTCAGAAATCCCCACAACACACTGACGCTGATGCAACTGCTAAAGTTCTCCGTGAGGAAACATTAGCAGCGGTTTAGTTCCGCGGTGAGCTGTTGAATTAGCGTCGTCCACTAGACGGCGCCATTGCTTCTTTTTATTTAGTGAAGATTTAACAATTAAAATTAATCCGTACATCAAAAACAATACTCATTTTACCACAGAAGTATTTATTACCCAAATTTGCTTAAATGTTGTATTAAAAAAAATTAAAATAAAAAAAAAACAACTGCTGGAAGTATTCATGACATAAACAAACTATGACTGAATTGTAAACAACATTTCATCAGAATTAACTTAAGTTTAATCTTAATGATGCTGAGAAAATGGGGTTAAAATCCACTCAATTGAACAAAAAAGTTATATCTTTCTTTAAGAATCTTCTGTTGCTCAGAATGAACTGTTACTGCTTTACTCTTACACTGAAAAAAATATTTTAAGAAGGTATTAAAACATGTGATGTATTTTGTGTGTGTATCTAATCTAAATATTTGACTTCTGTTTGTTTCACAAATACTTCCAGCTTAAACGTTTCATCTTGTATGGATACTATGGAAATAAAGTAGAACTTATTTTAAGTTACAACTTTTCAGACTCATCAAACCCACTTAGGCTCAAAACTAGCAGAATAAGTCCAGTACTTTGTCTTTTTTTGTTTGTTTGTTTGTTTGTTTGTTTGTTTTTAAGATAGTATTCTGATTACAATTATGTGTATGCTGTTTAAAAATCAAACTGATCTCCAGCTGGGATTAATTTAATCAGTAATTATTATTCATTTCTGGCAATGAGATAGAAAATAATTTGTCAAATGATATGGTTTTTGTAGTAGGCGTTCAATAGTGATATATTTAATAAATAATGAATGGATGATTCATATTTAAATTAATTACATTTACATTATCGAGTTAGGGAACTCCCAGCAGAACGATACATTTTCCAGAAGTTATTGCAATAAATTATAATATTCTTGTTTTGAGATCATTTTGAATATCAATAAACTTTAATTTAGGAAAGAACACTTTAAATATTCAAAATAAAGAAACAAAATGACCAAAGACAATAAAAACCACAAACAACCAAAACCATGTATGAAAAGGATGATGGTGACATAGATTCAAACTGTATTAGGCTACTGCAATCATCAGAATGGAAATAATCGAGAAATTATAAAAATAATTTTCGATTAATTTAAATATCTTGCTTTTTGCAACAGGCTTATTCACACACACACACACACACACACACACACACACACACACACACACACACACACACACACACACACACACACACACACACACACACACAGCACAGCATCGTGATGTCACGGAGGGGGAGTCTGATTTGGGACGGGTCTGTGTGCCGAACGTCTGGACGGACTCACTGCAACTGAATGATAGTTGAATCTCCTCCTTTAAATCGGGATCTTGTGGTCAATAACTGACCGAACTGTGTGAGTCCAGAACTTCAGGTCCGGATTCCCCTGGGAGAAAAGTTCAGGCTGCCTTCCTGTTCTTACCATGGACGCCCAGAGGAGGCTGACAGCTTATTGTCACTAGACCCCGTGGAGGAGAAGAATGGACCGAGTGAAAACTGACCCGAACGAGGTGGACTGATCCCCGCCATGTCGCCCTCCTCTCCCTGCCAGGAGGGCTACAGGCCGGCGGGCCGGCGCCGCCCGTCCCGCCGCGCAGGCTCCGGAACAGGGACGGGGGCTCCGGAGGGAGGGCGCGGCGGGCGGCCGCTCCGGAGAGGCGGGTGAAGTGTGTGCTGGTCGGGGACGGAGCGGTGGGGAAAACCAGCCTGGTGGTCAGCTACACCACCAACGGATACCCCACCGAGTACGTCCCCACGGCGTTTGACAACTTCTCAGGTAAAGGAGCAGAGCTGCGCGCAAAACTGCAGGAGCAGCGACACTCCAGCACATCTTTACGCAAGTAAAAGTTAAAAGTAGCCATCCGAGAAATTACTCAAGGAAGAGAGAGAAAGTATTTGGAGAAGAAAAGCTACTCGAGTAACCGATTAATCATACAACAGGCAAACCAAAAATATGTGGAAATATTGGTATTTTAAAGACCAAAATTATTCACCTAAATAAAATAACATCGAAAAGACAAAAAAAAAATCTAAATCAGTTTCTTTTAATATAAAACTTATGAAATTAACAAAGTTGTCGGTGTGTGTTTGTGTCTGATCCAAAAATGTTACTCAAGAGTAGAGATGCTTCATAAAAACATTACTTTAGTAAAATAAAAAGTACTTCAGTACCAGAAGTACTGAAGTAAATGTAACTAGTGGATCGAGGAAAAACTTTGTGAAGAATAATTAATCTGATCTGTTTTTATTTTACATTTAGCTGTAATTATTTAACAAATACTCCAAACATCTCACTGTCTCTGTAAACATAAATGTGAATCTAAACACTTATCATAACTCTATGTTAATAATTATGGCATATATATATTTTTTAAATCATATGATATTTGGATTTAAAGTTAATTTCTTCAGCAAAATGTTTCTATTTTTGGCTTCATTTGAATAATTTCTGTGTTTCTGTTCAGCGGTGGTGTCAGTGGACGGACAGCCGGTGAAACTGCAGCTGTGTGACACAGCAGGACAGGTGAGTGAAGACACACACAACCGCCTTACAGAAACACACACACTGCCTTACAGAAACACACACACCGCCTTACAGAAACACACACACTGCCTTACAGAAGTATTCGCGCCCCTCAGCTTCTTCACATCATTATCACCACAAACTCTAAATTTATAATTCTTGGCTCCAAAATGGACATAGACGAAGTTTTCAGATGAAAATCTTAAAAGTGTGGCATATGTTTAACATCTGTCCGTATTTTAAGCACCTTAGCTTATCACCAAGTGAGAATAGGTTCTCACTTGGATTTAGGTTTGGACTTTGACTAGGCCGTTCTAACACATAAAAAACAAGTCTTTTGGAGCTTCTGTCAGGTTTTCTTACAGAACTGTGCCAGCTGTGTTTAATCCCATCCCTTTTACCTTCAGCTCTGACCAGAGGCAGAAAAGCAACCCCACAGCATGATGCTGCCACCACCATGTTTTGTGGCAGCGTCTTCCGCACAGTGTCTGCTGTAGCTTTTTTTTTTTTGTTGTTGCTTTTCTCTCACTGAGACTAAATTACTCAAAGGTGGATTGTTTATTAACTATAAACAACCTGCAAGGGTTGTCAGTTGTTTGCATTGGATTTTATTTTTGGGTTTTAGAGTAAAGGGGGCTGAATACAAAGACATTTCACATTTAACTGGCCGCTATAAATGAATTAATTGCATAATAAATGTAACTGAGCTCAATAATTAATATTTCTTTTTGAACAGGAAGTTTCAAAAGAGTTGGTTTTGTTTATTGTTTTGATTGTGTGTGCTTTTTATGTTGTTTATTGTTTTTGATTATTGTGTTGATCTATTTTGGATACTGGAACATCTTCTAGTTCCATCATTAAGTGTTCTTTACAAAAGTTTGTTGATATTTGAAAGGGCAAATTTGTATTATTTTACCATGAAAATGTTCCCTAAACAACAATATTATCATTTATCGCGATACGTTGTGGGAAAATGTATCGTCCAGCAGAATTTGTTATTGTGACGCTCTTGCCACATTTATAGGTTTTTAAAACATGTTAATAAGGATGTTTGATTTTCCTTTCACTACTAAAGAATCTAATCAAATCTCAATAAAACAAGTTAAACTTTGGCGTTTTAATGTGACAAAATTATAAAACTAATTCAAGATTTTATAAATGTTCTGGACTTTGTGGCTATTCTGTTGTTAGAGCTTACATGGCAGCCATTTATGCTTTTTTGTTCTTCCCATTTTAAAGTTTCTAAGGTTTGGTGCTGTGAGGCAACAGGATGTATGTGACCCATAAGGGAAGGGATAAAAAAAAACGTCTGGAGCTGAAATAGGACACTGTGAGGTTGTGCTTTCGAATGGTTTTCCCCCCGGGACGTTTTCACACAGCGGCAGATGAGTTTTACTGCTAGAGAGCAAACAGAGCTGTTCGCTGAAACAAAGAGAAGTGGAATTATAAAATGCCTTAAAGTGAGGTCAGTTCATGTCCAGGAAGCTGTGTTTGATTTCCCTGGAAAAAAAAAAAAACAATCCCTCGTAGGCAGGAAGTGATGTCATTTAGTCCACAGCTGCAGCAGATGATTGTCTTTAGAAGATAGAAGAAGATCCATATCATCCTGTGGGACAAGCTGCTTCTGGTTGGAGGTTCTGAAACCGCTGCTCTCGGCTGAAAGACGCTCAGATATGCCCGGCATGCCGAGCTCCACGTGTTTGATAAGAGAAACTGATACTATAAAACTCACAGCGGGGAAAGAAGAGCTTTAGAAATGAAAAGAAATCCTTCCTTCCTAAACAAGAGTTTAATCTATCAGCATGTAAATACTGGATGTATGCAGAGAAATAAAGGGAACAAACAACATTATTATCTCAAATATGACCACAGATGAAGAAAGAATTACAAGGAAGAGGAGGAAGAGTTTTTGAGAGACTGCAAGGAGAATTTAATCCAATTTAATCATCAAAAAATGTCATGTTGTGGCTTTTAATTAAATATTTACGTTTCTCATACTTCACACCATTTGAAGGTCTGAGATCAGTCTCAATTTCCCTGGTTTTTCCAAATTCTTTTAACACAAATTCAAATCAGTTACATCTCTTTTGCGCCTCTGAGCATTTTATTTTGTAGCAACGGGGAAATTTGAATTGATTGTTGACCCCTGTTCTATTTATATGCAGTTTCAATTAAATACATTGAAATGTGTGATTTTAATTTCTCAAAAATGCAGAAGACGTTTGCTGATTTCTTTGTCTGATTCTCTGTCATTGAACCAAAGTTTGCCTGACGTGGTTTGGTTGCGTCCCTTCTGTCCTCCAGGACGAGTTTGACAGGCTCCGACCGCTGTGCTACACCAGTGCAGACGTCTTCATGCTGTGCTTCAGCGTCGTCAGTCCCGCCTCCTTCCAGAACGTTCCAGAAAAATGGGTCCCAGAGATCCGTAAACATGCCCCCTTCGCTCCCCTCGTCCTGGTGGGGACACAGTGTGACCTCAGAGAAGACGTCAAGGTGCGCAGTTTCACTCAACCGATCACACAACAAAAAAAATACTGCTTTTAATGGCATTATAGTAAAATATAAACACATCCGGACGAGAACTGGAAACCTCTTTAGAGTTGCAAAAGCCTGGAAAATGGATTTTTGTGCAGCCTGGTAAACAGTCCCTTGTCCAATGCTTGATTAAGAATAGTTGTTTTTTTGGAGATGTGAACTTCAATGACGTATGAGGCTCATTGTAAATAGCAAAAAAATAAATAAATAAAAAAAATGTAAAAATCAAAAATGGCTAGAAAACAAACTATGAAGTTTTGAGTTTAATCTCAGAAATTTAGAAAAGAAAATTTTACTTTCTGAGTTGGAAAAGTAAAAATTTGCTAGAAAATAACCCAGACATTTTGACATTAATCTCATAATTTGTTTTCAGAAAAAATTACAAATGTCCCAGTTTTTGATAAAATTTTTTTGCCAGAAAGTCACTCTTTACATTTTTATATCTAAGACGCTGTCATAGTGATCTCTGTTGAAGTTTTAAAGTTTACTCAATTGCTAACATTTGTCCGTGACGTCTTTGATGCGTCAGATCGACGCTAAGAAGCTTATTGGATATTCCCTGCACTGTAAACGACCGCCCTCCACCGCGAAGACAGAGGCGTCAATCCAAACATCATTGTTAATTCAACATTTGGAAACAAAGCTAACACTGCCACTGGTTCAGCTACAGACAAACCACAACTCAGCGCAGAAAATCAAAGTCATTGTTCACAACTTTCTCCTTCTGTTCTCTGATTGGTTGAACTCTACCGGAGAAATCGATTTCAGTGGGAGAAAGTCCAGACTGAGTAGTGAAGGCAGTTTTCAGGCAAAGTTTTATTGGTATAACTACTTAAAAAGAAATAAAAAAAAAATAAAACTTTAAAATTCTCAGTATTTCAGACATTGAAAACAAAAAAAACTAATCAATAATTATCAATACAGACAAGGCTAACACTATGTGAGTCATATTGTCCAGGGGAATTTGCGCTGTTAGCTTTTAGCCACATTTAGCATTTGACTAAAAGGTTGTTCCTTCCTCATGTCTCGTCATAAACTGTTGTGGTTCTCCTGTGGCAGAACGTGGAACAGTTTGTGGATAACTCTGTCGACTTCTTCCAGGTGCTCATCGACCTGGCCAAGTACCGGGAGCGGCCTGTGGACCCCTCGGATGCCCGGGACTGTGCCATGGAGATCGGAGCGGTGGCCTACATGGAGTGCTCCTCTCTGACCCAGAAGAACCTGAAGGAGGTGTTCGACACGGCCATCCTGGCCAGCCTGCAGAAATACGGCTCGCGGAAACGCTCGAGAGGCAAACAGAAGCAGCGGAAAAAGGCGAGGCAGACCCCGGACAAGATGAAGAGTCTGTCCAAGTCCTGGTGGAAACGGTACTGCTGCGTGGCGTAGAGCAGACCCGGGACTGGATCCGGCTCTGATTCTGGGCTGGAGGTCTAAACTATATAAAACCCTGACTGGGACGTGGAATATTGTGGATGAGATTTACTACTGAGCTTTGAGTCGCCCGGAGGATTCTCTGGTGTTTATTCACTTTGACTGGTTAAACCCCAGTTCTGTTCTGGGACCAGTGAAAGATGTGACAGAGTCATGTCCAGGTTGCTTTTCTCTGGATTTCTGGTCCAAATATACGAAGGAAAAAAATTAAAAAACAGACAAAAAAAACCCCATCTTGGTACAAATAGATCCTGCCTTTTTATGCATCCCAGAGGAAAACTGGAATCTTTGTTGGATCTAATTATTATAATGCTGATCTAAGCCAAACAACACACTGTCAGCCGACTGTAAATTGTTCCCAATTCTGGACTGGTTTAAAATAAGACCAGAAAGAGAGTCGCCCTCAGCCCAGACTTTGTCACGGGGGATTTTATGACCCAGACATGAAGTCAAAACAAGTCCATCCTGACGTTCATTCAGACCAGAGCCATTGTTATCATGATGAGAGGACTCGTTGAGGAACCACATCCTGATTTTACACGTTCACTTTTGATCATAAATCAGCTTTCAGTTTGGTCTTAAACAGAACAATTTGTACCAACTTCAGGCTTTGTTTTTTTATGCAAGAGCTCAAATCATATCTAATCTTGATACGAACTTCTGCACATTTTTGTCCTATCAGAAGACACAAACTGTTCCCGTTTTGATCACAACTGAGATTTACAAACAACCCACATTCTTTAGGTCTTTTTTTTCTGTGGCAGCAAACAAACTATTTCATGTCTCCATATTGAAGGTGATTTATCATCTTTTCCTCTCAAACTCATCAGGACTGGCAGTGGAAACAGAGCGAAGCCGGTTCAGGTTTGTTAGCTGTGAAAACGGATCGTTTCTTCTGCACGTGTTTGACATATAACTGAAACAAAGTGGTTTTAATATTTCCTCTGCTATATGTGATTTATCCTTTCAGACTTGACTATGAGCGTTTGCTGAATCAGATCCTCCATGGTTAAATCTAAAACGAGCTATAATTAATTCATAATGCATTTTTCTATCTTTGTTTCTTAAAAAAAATATTTTTTTTCTTTTATAGTACTGGATATTATTGTTAGTTGCTGACACTCTGTGTCTATAACACATCAATTATCTATAAAACTGGTGTTTTTTTCTTCCTAATATTTCATCAAATGAAAACCACAAACTTTAATGTTTTCTATTTTATGCGACAAACCAAGACACAGTGGTGCATCGATATGAGGAACAGAAGTAAATCATCGTTTCAGTTTGTTTCAACAGATGAAAATCTAAAAAGTGCGGTGGGCATTTGTGCCCAGCTCCTCTAAATCAATAAAGGGGATAACGATGCATCAAAATATGCAAATAAACAAACATTTAAGTCTGTCTTTAATTAAAAAGACAAACATTTTATTGCCTTAAATGCAGTAGTAGCATTATTTCACTTGTAGCAAAGGATGCATCTGCAACTCAAACAAATACAAGCATGTGAAAAGCTCAGCCTCTTTTAATCAACTTAATATCAATAAAATGTAGATGATCTATTGACTATTTCTTAAATTAATAATTGGACAGCAAGAAGTGATTAATATGGGATTTTGTTTTACAGAATTTGAACCAGGTGAAGCTAAACCTGCCACTAGAATACTTATGGGTAAAACATATTCACAAATAAAAGGTTATTATTTTTTAATCTTGAATGCCAAATGCATACATTTTAGTACAGTTTTGGTTTAATTACTGCTGTTTCTAATGCAACTCAATGTGTCGATGTTTAACTGCTGATAGCGAATGCTTTGTGTGTTGCAGGGAGAAAAGGCACAATAGGTTATTTGTCTTGTGGAGCAAAGTGGGCTAAAGGTCACACACTCTTATGATAGCTGGCATTTCCTGTGTCAAGTTTAACAGAAGTTATTTAATTCACTCCGGTTTAAGCGTCTCAGTGGTGTTAATCATGTTGTTCTGTCTCGCCTTTCCGTGTCAATCAGCAGAAAATGCCTGACTTGTTTTTTAAAACGACGTTAAAATGAGATGGTTTTAAACGTCTAAATGCTGCGATCCTGTAGATTCTGCTTTATTTAATCACCACAGAAGCTACTCTGATAGCAATAAAGCAATGCAACGCGCGACAACACTGGCACAAATTCACTTGTGACGCCATCTTTTGAGGCTATGAAAGGTTCGAGGGTTTCCCTTGTTTTGACTTCTTCTCAGGTGGTTGCTGCAGCGACATGACGGACGAAGGGCTTCGTAACGTGGAGCAGATGGCTATCTGAACGTGGAGGCAGAAAACAGATGTGATGAATGCTGGGGTTTTTCTGTTTTGTTGAAAGTAAAGCATAATTATTCTTTGTTGCTGTTGTTGAGGTTCGTAGAACTGTGTGAGAGCTGAAACTTCATGACTTTGATTTACTGGGTGTTGTTGCGACGGGCCTCCGCTGTACGCTGGCAATGTTTAATACGTGACTCAGAGACGCGGCGTCAGCCAGCTGGTGTTTGGTCTCATTGGACGTGAAGCAAAGAAACACAAAAATACACATAAATACGTCTGATTTAGGGCACAAAATGAAACTGGTCATTGTAATCATCTATGTCCAGGGCCGGACTCACAGGGATAAGGGCCCGGGTCTAGAGCCGGTTTAGGTACCCCATCTAAAAAAGAAAAAACAAGCATTTTACACATGGAGATTACAGGTGATGAATAGGTAGGCCTAAACATCAACAGGTTTAAAACCTCCCAGGTGAACTGGCCCCATGTTTGTCCCCAATAGATGCACTATAAGTTCAGAATTTTCAAATATTTGAGTTTTGTATGCATTAGCGTTAGTATCAATCAAAAAATGCCCAAAAAACACATTTCAGACAGTCTTATATGTTTTATGCAAGCTACAATGTAAAACATTAATTCATTACATAAATCTTTGGGGCCCCCAAAACCTGGAGCCCTGGGCTACTGCCACTGTAAGCCCATTCTGAGTCCGGCCCAGTCTACGCCCTGTGACTCTGTGAGTTCAAACAGAAACGGATCTAATCTGAGCGTTTGCAGATCTTACAGGGGCCACCAGTTCAGAGCCTCTTTCAGAAAAGCAGCTGACCGCGGCCTGTGTGAACCACCGCTCCTGTTTTCACTGGTTGAAAAACAAAAACAGACAATACGCTGCTGCCATCTGCTCATCTCAAGCTTGTCGTTAATCTGGAAATATCAGTGAAAGGAAAATGTGTTTGTACAGATCTGATATACTCTGAGAAATAAAGAATATTTGTAATAAAGACGTGGTATCTGAAACCTGTTGAAGAGGTTGATTTGTTGAAAAAATTAAGAAATAAAGAATAATAAAAATGAACACAGAAACTAAGATTAAAATACCAATTTAAAACACATTAATAGGTGAGATTGTTCATGTTTTAAATGATTTAAAGGAACTAACTGCAGTTTCTTTCATTCTGGTCCTGGGGACACTACATCAACAAGTCTGTTAAAAAATAAGAAAACTAAACACTTCATGTCTGCAAAGCATCTCTGGAATATATTTACACTCACGACATGCAGTGACATAATAACTGGTGGAACTGGATCCATTTCTCAGGACTGTTTACTGGTTTATGGTGATTAGCTAAATGCTCTCTAACCTTAAATTTTCAATTTTTTCCTTTTTGGAATCAAAAGTTTTAATACACTTTAAGCTGGGAAAAGTTGCAGCTGTTGAATAAAAGTGGCTCAAGATTAGAGCCTTGAGGAACTCCACATGTGATCTTTACTTGCTAACATTCAGAATGACACACAGGGGTTCTAGTTTACCAAATGAAATCGGAACCAGTTTTCCAGTAGCCATACTGGTGTCAAAACTTCAAACAGGTGTGGGTGAAAGCCATCTTTGAAAGTGCAGAAAAGAATTTTCTTGTGAAAAAGGAGTAAATTTGTAGATAAGCTGTCTTTACTGACCAATAGTCTTGCCAAAGTGTGAGTGTTCAGAGCTCAGAGTAACCTTGTACCACCATGTAGTGAAAGCTGCAAAATGTTACTGAGATAAGATGAACAAGTTTACAGCAAGAGTTATTTCTCTACCAAAATGATTTAATCACTTCTCAAAAAAAGAGTCTGACTGAAATTATCCTCTAAAAGGTTTCTAAAGAAAACACATTCACTGCAAAAATGCACTTATTTTTGGTCTGGTTCCCAGCACAAGCATCTTAATACATTCAAAATGAGCTTGTTTTCAATCAATAATTTCTTAATATTGATCAAAAAGCTCACTTATCCTTGCTATCAGGTAATTAATCTGCCAGTGGAACTAGTTCTATTTAATCAAAATTAAGGAATTACTGACTTAAAACACACTCCTATATTTTGCTTAAAGATTATCTATAAGTTAGTTTGGTCTTATTTCAAATGGATTAAGATGTTTGTGCTACAACTAGGCCAAAGATACTTGGTAAGATTTTGTGTTTTTGATTGTTTCCTTTCATTTTCAGCTCAAACATGGCTTCTCCTGACATGGTTTGGTGCAATGGAGGTTGCTTTTTAAAGTCAAACAACCATGCTGCGCTCAGCTGAACGTCAGGAGAGATGCAGGCCACGCTCCAGGACGTGACGACACAAACACAAGTGTACACACACAGAATGTCACCCGACTTCAGTCTGGATCACTGTGAGGAGACTCACCGCTTCCAGGCAGCTGTCGTTATGCAAGAGCTTTTGAAGGCTGTCAAGTGGTGTTTGGTGAGGGATCTGTCTGATACGCAGTGTATCTGATTCACTGCGTTATCAGACAGCAGTGAATCATGAGAAGAACCACTTTGTTCTGGTTACATCAGCTGTCCTTTGAGCCCCAGTCACAGCTCTCTGGTGCAAATTAAGAACAACAAGAGGACTTTTTCTTAGGCGTTTTAAAATCTGCTACAAATCAATGACACATTCTCACTTAAAATGTCTAAAAAAAACATAAATCTCCACTTAATAAAAGCAGCACAATAATGCTGCATATTTTCTAAAGCAGCAAAATCGCTAAAATAAAATTTTTCATAACAATTGGTTCCCAACATCATGCCTTGCAGATATTTTATCGACCTTTAATTTAATAAAACATATGATATATCAATATTTAGCCAGAAAGTTTAACTTTTACTTTCCTATTTAATTTTTCCATGTACAGGAAGGCAGGGGAACAAACACAAAATAAGTTTTATAATTTATTCTGAGAAGAAAAACATTCAGAGTAAACACATATATTTAAATTGTGCAAAAGCTGCTAGAATTCAAATTACAGTTTAGAGATTCAGTTCTGGCTGATTGTATAACTTTATGCCTTCTCTCTCTCTGTGTGTGTGTGTGTGTGTGTGTGTGTGTGTGTGTGTGTGTGTGTGTGTGTGTGTGTGTGTGTGTGTGTGTGTGTGTGTGTGTGTGTTGTTGCGTAATATAAAAAGGAGGTGGAGTGACATCAGTACTTTACAAGCAGAGCTGAAATACAACCCTTTGTTTTCTAACAAGCTGTAAATACAATCGATGTGTGTGTGTGTGTGTGTGTGTGTGTGTGTGTGTGTGTGTGTGTGTGTGTGTGTGTGTGTGTGTGTGTGTGTGTGCAGCCAGCTGCTCTGTGGGAGCCGATGTGTGTATCGACTTAAAGTAATGAAAGAAAGTTGGAGTGGAGACAGCAACACATGGAGGAGAAAACAAAATGAAGGATACAAAAAACTAAAAACAAATTAACAGAAAGTAGCAACAGTGACCAAAACATGATTAACCAAAGGGAACCATGTAAACATAGCGAACATTTTCAACAATCAATCAATACAGCGGGAGCAAAGTTTCTCATTTTGAGGAGTGAATGTTGACAAATCAGCAAATGGTTCAACTGTTTCTGTGATAGCTGACGATTTATACAGCTTCTATTGAGCAGCTTTAGCTTCTGCTAACTCAACATTATGGATGAAGAAAGCAACAACTAAAACTTGTCTTTACCAGGAGGCGTTACAAAGCGGTAAAACCAGCTGTGCTGGAGTTCAGCTTGGGTCACTAGGTGACGGGCAGGATCTACTGATTTGTTACATCCATGAGGTTTTTGAAAAAGCCCCCATACACCAAAAAACATGAACTTATTGCCAAAAACCAGAGTTGTATTGTGACTCGTTGCATTTATTTAAGTGATTTTTTTTTCTTAAATGTTCTATTAGGAGTATTTTTACCACGTCGTATGTTTTACTTTTACTTTAGCAATTTTATCATGAAGTAACATTATACTTACTCGAGTAAAATTTCTGGATTTTCTGGATTGAAGGAAGAACAAACATGTTTTGATCAAATATTAACCAGACTGAGACTCCTGCAGTTTTCACTAAAGGTTCATAAGTTTTACATTGAAAGAAACTGATTTGGAAACATTTTCTTTTGCCTGATTTTATTATCTTTGTTATTTACGTAAACTATTGTCATTTTTGTCCTGAAAATAACAAATATTTTAACTTCATATTTTGGTCCGTCTTATTATGTAATTTTTAAATATTAAATTACTGGATTTTATATTTAAATCAAGTACAGATAATTTGAGTAATTTTGAGGATGCTTGCGTCTTACTTTCACTTTAGTAAAAATATGTTGAAATAGTGCTGGTATTAATTGAGTGTAATCTTTGGGTACTCTGCCCACTGTTTACATCATCCCCAAAACAAAAGTAAAAGACCTGGTGATGGTCCTGATAGGAGTCAATCCAAAGTTTTTCTCCAACAGCCAGTTACCCCAAAAGCCACATAAAATAACAGTTTTAAAAGCCCTCAGGGACAAAGAGCTGAGTTTTTAGTGTTAGTTTGTTTTTGTCTTGTGTCCTGATGAAATTAACTGTTATAGTCAGAGGAACCTCATTTCCTCTGATTTTATTTAAATTGTTTAAACATTATTTTAACTTCATTCACAGCTTTAAAGGGGTATAAATGGTCACTGTGACCTTTTGATAAGTGAAAATGATTCTAAAATGTTTTTAATCTAATAAGTAACCTATTATCTCAAGGACGGTGCTTGGTTAGTATTTCTGTGACTCTCTCACCTAATTCACACATAGGAAGTTACAGTTTTTCATTATTTTTGATTAATGAGCTGCTTCATCTCAAACTTTGGGCCAGACGCAGCCTAGTTTAAATCAGCCACTTTAAATGAAAACAGCTGCACAGGGAGCTAATTCTGTTTTATGCGTTTAATCGCTTCATATTGAGAGAACAAATGAGTTTGGGTTTTTTTTTCACGTCAATGGTAAATGTTTGAAATGAATTTATGTGTATTGTTTCTACAATATAAAACTAGAGTAATTTGAGGCCTGGTGAGGATTGAGCGTTGGTGTTATTTTGAGAGTCTGGATCTTTTCTGCAAATCATCTCTGGCAACAGCTGCACTTTCAGCAGGGTTAGCAAAGCATCGCATGTAAATATCAGTCTATCTGCCATGACGTTGGCTCAAAGTTAGCGTATCAAATTATTGTGTTTAAAAATAACCACAATAGACAAACGGCTTAAAACAGGGTCACTAAAAAGAAAAACTGAAGATACCGCTGGACAGTTTCTCAAGGCGAGTTGCACAACTTTTGTTTTTGAACGTTACGATACGTAGCAGATCTCGGTCTGTGGCTGTGCTGAATGAGACACGACTGTAAAGAGGCAGTGAGCAGCAACGCCCCCCAAACTGCATCTTAACACCTAAAATTAAATGATTTATGTTGGCTATCTAGTGGCTGAAAGAACACTTCTGTTTTTGCAAACACAACTTAAATCTGCTTTTCTTTTCTTCTAAATCACAAGTAGTCCTAAAATGTTTATCAATCCACACAACCATTGTAGTGAGGAATTTCAATGTTTTTGATCATTTGAAAGCTAAAAATACAAACTTTCATCATCTGTAAATAACTCAAAGCGTCCCGAGTTGACGGGTTCTTGGTTTCATTGTGGCGAGTCACATTTATAAAAGATAAACAATATTTCTTAAAATGAACAAAGGAAACTATAATAAGTGAATAAAGAGACTAATATTTTAATTTCAGGTTGTATATATGAAGATGTTGTGTTACTGAAGGGGCAATTTCAAGTTAAATGTTTGTTAATTGGGCTAAGTGGTCATTGGGTTGCAACAGTCTGAGAGATTGATCTAGAATCAATACATCCTGACTAATCAATAAGGCAGTTATGATCCAGAAAACAGTTCTCACTCAGGTTGTTTTTATGTTGAAGCGAAGGTGTCGGAGAGGGGGTTGCATCCCCAGCTGTAATGTAAACACAGCAGTCAGCTGTTGTCAAATAGTTGGTTCC